AGGTGAGTGATGCGGGCGGAGATAGTGGGGGTGAGGAGAGGGGTGGAGAGGTAGATTTGGGTGTCGTCAGCGTAGAGGTGATAGTTGAAGCCGTGAGAGTGTATGAGTTTGCCCAGGGAGGAGGTGTAGATGGAGAGAAGAGAAGGGGTCCAAGGACAGAGCCTTGGGGGACCCCAACAGAGAGGGGGAGGGAGGGGGAGGTGGCACCATTGTAGGTGACACTGAAGGAGCGTCGGGATAGGTAGGATGAGAACCAAGAGAGAGCAGTATCTCTGATGCCAAGGGAGAGGAGTTTATTAAGGAGGAGGGGGTGGTCAACTGTGTCGAAGGCCGCAGAGAGGTCCAGGAGAAGGAGGACAGAGTAGTCGCCCTTGGCTTTGGCGTTTAGTAGGTCGTTAGTGATTTTGAGGAGGGCAGTTTCAGTGGAGTGTAGGGGACGGAAGCCGGACTGTAGAGGGTCAAGGAGGTTATTGTCTGTAAGGTGGGAGCTTAGGCGATCGTAGACTATGCGTTCAAGGAGCTTGGAAGTGAGTGGCAGCAGGGAGATGGGTCTGAGGTTGTTGGGGTCCGCGGGATCCAGGGAGGGCTTTTTGAGGATGGGGGTGATATGCGCGTGCTTTAGGGGGGAGAGGAATACGCCAGTAGAGAGGGAGAGATTGAAGATGTGGGTGAGGGAGCGGATGAGGGAGGCGGGGGGTGACCGGAGGAGTTGAGAGGGGATAGGGTCCAGGGGGCAGGTAGTGAGGCGGGCTTCTGAGAGGACTTTGGCGACTTCCTCAGTAGTGACAGGGGCTGAGGGAGTGCAGTGCGGGGGGGGGGTTATGGTGGGCGGGGCATTGGGAGAGGTGGGGGGGCAGTGCGGTTGTGAGGGCAGAGGAGGGGGGAGATGAGGGGGTGACGGGGGTGAGGAGGCTAGGTGGGGAGGTAGATTGCAAGTTGACGATGTCCTTACGGATATGGGTGGCAATCTGTTGGCGAAATGGTGGCAATCTCGTGGGCGGTGAGAGAGGTACTGAGTGGTGGAGGGGGGGGGGGGGAGAGAGCAGGGAGTTGAAGGTGGAGAAGAGTCGGCGGGGGCAGGAGGAGAGGGTGTTTATTAGGTTAACAAAGTAGGCCTGATTGGCGGCGTGGAGGGAGGAGGTGTAGATAAGAAATGCAGATTTGTAGAGGGAGAAAGTATGAGGGGACCTGGTTTTGCGCCACAGTCTCTCCAGTGCGCGACTGCGACGTTTGAGGCGTTTAGTGCTGTCGGTCTGCCAGGGTTGAAGCGGTCTGGGTTTGATGATGCGTGTGGTTAGGGGTGCCAGAGAGTCTAGGGCAGCTGACAGTGAGTCATTGTACAAGGTGGTGGCTATGTCAGGACATGACAGTGAGAGGATGCTGTCGTGTAGGCGGTCGGCGGCAGAGTGGAGGGGGGCCGGGTTCAGGTTGCGGAGGTTGCGGCTGGTGATGGTTTGGCGTTTTTGAGGGGGGGAGTTGGGGGAAGGGGAGATGGAGAAGGTGATGAGGTGGTGGTCGGAGAGAGGGAAGGGGGTGTTAGAGAACTGGTTGAGGGTACAGAGGTGGGAGAAGACAAGGTCCAGGGTGTTCCCTCCGAAGTGGGTGGAGGATTGAGTGTGCTGTGTGAGCGCGAAGGAGGAGGTTAGGTGGAGGAATTGGGAAGTGGCCGGGTTGTTGTCGTTGATGGGGATGTTGAAGTCCCCGAGGATGATGGTCGGTAGCTCAGAGGAGAGGAAGAAGGGGAGCCAGGCGGCGAAGTTGTCCAGGAAGCGGGGTATGGATCCGGGAGGCCTGTAGATCACTGCGATCCTTAAGGGGGGTGGGTGAGAAGAGTCGGATGCAGTGCGCCTCAAAGGAGGGGAAGGAAAGAGAGGGTGGGTTAGGGAGGACCTGGAAGGTGCTAAGCGGTGATAGGAGCAAGCCGACACCACCACCTCTGCGATCGCTCAGTCTTGGTGAGTGGGTCCAGATGAGACCTCCATGAGTGAGTGCCGCAGGGGAAGTGGAGTCGGTGGCCTGTACCCAGGTTTCGGTGACTGCTAGGAGGTTGAGGGAGCGGGAGATGAAGAGGTCATGGATGGGGGTAAGCTTATTGCAAACCGAACGGGCATTCAGGAGTGCAACCGAGAGAGGGGGGATAGATATGGGGAGGAGGGGTACATGTATGAGGTTGAGGGGGGTCGCGTCGGCTGGCGTGAGCAGGGGGGGCTCTGGGGGGGGGGTGAGGTGGTGAGGGGCCAGGGTTCGGGGAGATGTCTCCAGCTGATATGAGAAGGAGGAGGGTGAGGAAGGTGGCGTGGGAACGGGAGGTGTAGGAGCGCTTGGGTCTGAAAGAGGTGGCAAGTGGGGTCAGCGGGGAAGTGGAGTAGCAGGAGGAGGTGGTGGGTGCCATAGTGGGGAGAGGGGAGAAGTGAGGGGGCGATATAGAGCTGCTTGGCGGGGGGGGTGGGTGGGTAGAGGAAGGCGGTTTTAGGGATGGAGCAGAGGAGGACGAGGAGGAGGAGCGCGGGCGGCATGTTGGGGTGAGCGGGGTGCAGGAAGGGTCGGGGTGGGTGAGGGGGTGCTGGTCAGGGATGGCGAAGCAGTGTCCGAAACGCCGTGGGAGGTGGCTGGTAGTCCCAGGTGGAGTGGAGGGCAGGGGATCCTGGTGGGATGGTGGCCGTGCTATCCCTGGTGGGATAGTAGCGATCCCTGGAGGGATAGTGGTTAAGGGTCCCTGGTGGTTCGGGTTTCCGGTGGATGGTGGGATCCCTGAGTGTGTCCCTGGTGGCTGGCGGTGGGATGGTGGTTGGGCTCCCTGATGGGTAGTGGGTGCCCCTGGTGTCCTGGGTCCTGGAGCGTCGTCGGGTGGAGGTGGATCCCTCCTATGTTAGGAGGACCGTTGGTGGTGGTGGTAGCTTCCCGGAGGAGCGGAGGCATCCCGCTGCGATTCCAGCCACGGCCGGCAGGAAACACCGTGGCTTCGGGTGCCGTGGTAGGCCTCAAGCCGCTTCGGACCGCCGGAGCTCCGCTGGAGGGACGGAGTGTCTGTGGCCCCTTCAGGGTGTTGGTGGGGACATCGGCAGAGGCTCAGGGGCCCGGATGGCAGTGGATGGGGCGCGGGGGGCACCTGAGCTGACGAGCACATGGCTGCTCCGGGCGAGCTGGTACCCGGTGGTCGGGATGGACCCAGGGCCAGTGAGGGGGGCCCTGGGGAGGCTGGCTGATCGGCGGGGACCGGGAACAGAGCAGCAGCAGCCTGGGCTGATGCCCGGCGATCCGGGTCGGCCGCGCCAAAAATCGAGGCCGCGGCTTCGGGCTGCGGGTAGGCCGCAAGTCCCGGAGGTCCGGGAAAAAAGGTCCAGTGGCTTTAAAAAAAATCATTGCTCCCAGCCCAGTAGCTTCAATCACTACATGCTGCCTATTCTTGATTAGCTTCAAAGGGTTTTAGACCCCTAATTTCTCCTTAACCCCTTCACGCCTAAGGGTATTTATTTATCTATTTCAGGTACTTATATAGCGCCATCAATTTACGCAACGATTTACATATATATTGTACATTCACATCAGTCCCTAACCCTCAAGGGGCATACAATCTAAGGTCCCTAACTCACATTCATACATACACGTATTAGGGCCAATTTAGACAGGATCCAATTAACCTACCAGCATGTCTTTGGAGTGTGGGAGGAAACCGGAGTACCCGGAGGAAACCCACGCAGGCACTGGGAGAGCATGCAAACTCCAGGAATGGAGGTGCCGTGGCTGGGATTCAACCAACGACCCTAGTACTGCCAGGCAGAAGTGCTAACCATTTAGCCACTGTGCTGCCCATGCCCTAAGGGTAAAATAAATCTAAATGCCTAAGCACAATTCTGCAACATTGACATGTGTTAGTAAAACTCTCGATATCATCACAACTACTTTGTACATCCAGGTGGATTATACCTTGATTTTTTCAGGACAAATTGGGCTTTCATTTGGTGGTAAATGCTAATGGATTCTGCTCCTAAGTTTTTTTATTATCAAAGGAAAACTGGCCCAAAATAGTAAAAAAAAAATCATTTTTTTATTTAGCTGTGTGTTTCTTGTTACGACCATAACCTACCACCAAAGAAAATCCCAAAATAAATTCTCCAGCTCTTGACGATCGCAGTGATACCATATATGTGTATGTTATTTGTTGTTTATCCATAGTACAGCCCAGAAACAATAGTGGGCATTTTGTTTTTGTCTTTTTTTTTTTTTTTGCCTAAAACACACTGACACTGACATTAACACTAACTGACACTGATACCAATTTTTTTTAAATCCTGACCTTTGACCCTGAATTTTGACCTTGACCTTTGACCCTGACCTTGGCCCAAACACTAACCCTGGCACTGAACTAGATCAAACCTTGATCTAGGTATTTTTTGTTAATTTTTTCTTTTATTTTTTTAATATTTATTTATTTATTACAAACTGTTTTTTCTCTCTATGCCAGGAGTTAAGAGAGATACAATGTATCTCTCTTCTCCATTCTTAGAGAGAGAAAAAACAAGGGGGCCAGGCTGCACAGTGACTGATCACTGTGATAGCCAATCAGAGGCTATCACAGCGATCATGTGACCAGGAATCGGGAGTCCCGGGTCCCGATCGTTAGAATGGGACCCGGTGCTCTCAGTGACACCGTGGTCTCTAGGCGCGCTCCCAGCACAAAGACAGGTACGCAAATACTGGAAAAAAGCCCAATTCCATAGGGCCGCATGTAACAGAAGCGTAGGCAGGACAGACCACACGGAGAAGATGGGGAACACACAAAACGTTATTGAAGCAACAAATTGACAGACACTCAATAGGGAAATGGCAGGGAGAGTGATGTGTGCGCAAACCAGGGACGATTCCAGGCACGGGGGGGGTCTTCAGCGACGGCAGGCAATCTCCCCCCTAGGCTTGGGGCCTCAGCCGAGCTCCCTCCGTGACTGGACAGCGGATTGGAGACTCGGGCAACAGGTGGCAACCTACCACTGGGCAGGGGCCTCGGGCAACAGGCAGCAACCTACCACTGGGCAGGGGCCTCGGGCAACAGGCGGCAACCTACCACTGGGCAGGGGCCTCGGGCAACAGGCAGCAACCTACCACTGGGCAGGGTCCTCGGGCAACAGACGGCAATCTACCCCTGGGCAGGGGTCTCGGGCAACAGGCGGCAACCTACCACTGGGCAGAGGCCTCGGGCAACAGACGGCAACCTACCACTGGGCAGGGGCCTCGGGCAACAGGCGGCAACCTACCACTGGGCAGGGGCCTCGGGCAACAGGCGGCAACCTACCACTGGGCAGGGACCTCGGGCAACAGGTGGCAACCTACCCCAGGTAAGGGCTCGGGCAAGAGGCGGCAACCTACCACTGGGCAGGGGCCTTGGGCAACAGGCGGCAATCTACCCCTGGACAGGGGCCTCGGGCAACAGGTGGCAACCTACCCCAGGGCAGGGCTCGGGCAAGAGGCGGCAACCTACCACTGGGCAGGGGCCTTGGGCAACAGGCGGCAATCTACCCCTGGACAGGGGCTCGGGCAACAGGCGGCAACCTACCACTGGGCAGGGGCCTCGGGCAACAGGCGACAACCTACCACTGGGCAGGGGCCTCGGGCAACAGGCGGCAACCTACCACTGGGCAGGGGCCTCGGGAACTCAACGGGACTCTAGCTGTGGAGACTGGCCACAGCACAGCTCCCACCCAGCTTTCTAGGGTCATTGGGTTCATGGGGACTCAACGGGTAGTGATGGCTCAAGCACTCAGGGGCACCACAGGTAGCTATACTCCGGGCATGCCATCAGGACATGGGTGGTCAGTGCACACACAGCGGGGCAGTTTGGACACGAGTGGTCGGTGCACACTCCGGGGACAGTTCAGAACACGGGTGGTCGGTGCACACAGCAGGCACAGTTCAGGACACAGGTGGTCAGTGCGCACAACAGGGACGGTTCAGGACACGGGTGGTCGGTGCACACAGCAGGGACAGTTCAGGACACGATGGTTGGTGCACATAGCGGAGACAGCTCAGAACACGGGTGGTCGGTGCACACAGCGGGGACAGTTCAGAACACAGGTGGTCAGTGCACACAACAGGGACAGTTCAGGACACGGGTGGTCAGTGCACACAACAGGAACAGTTCAGGACACAGGTGGTCAGTGCGCACAACAGGGACAGTTCAGGACACGGGTGGTCGGTGCACACAGTGGGGACAGTTCAGGACACTCACGGTAAGCAGCTTGCAGACCATCAGCGGCAGGTGGCTCCAGACAGGGAGGACCAGCGGTCAGCGTTCTAGGGACAACCAGTGATCAGCAGACAGCAGCAGCTCCCAGGGCACTCAGCAGCAGACAGCCTCCAGGGACACACAGCCACAGACAGTGTGCAGGGTCCCTAAGCAGCAGCTTCCAGGGCACTCAGCAGCAGACAGCCTCCAGGGACACGCAGCCATGGACAGTGTGCAGGCTCCCTCAGCAGCAGCTCCCAGGGCACTCAGCAGCAGACAGGGTGCAAGGGTCCTCAGTAGACAGGCTTACAGACTGGCAGGGTCTCAGCTGTGGGGTCTGACCTTTGAGGAGAAGGCTCATGCAGAGCTGTGGAGACTCCCAACCCTGGGGTATTGTAGAGGGCTACAGTCCTGACCTTTTGGGGTCTGCAGAGTGCACAGGGGGGATGGCTGGGGAGGCTCGGTCCCCCTCACCTGAGCCTCCCAGCATCTTTCTGGGAGCAAGATGGTTCCAGCGCATGGCCAGGAACAGAGAGAGAAAGGCTACTTCCAGTGCGAGAGTTTTGAAAATCAAGTGGGACGCGGCTAGGTTGCCTTGGCAACAGCCGGCCCAGCAGACTTCAGAATGTGCCGGGGGAAGGGAGGGGTGGAGGGATATGGTGAGGGATGGGAGAGGCACTGGCAGTCCGCGACACCGCATATTTGTGTGACGTCGGCGGGAAGGGGTTAAAGAGGACCTGTCATATACAGTATACCAACGCACAAGGGGCTACTGTTTATGCAGCTCATTGTGTAAGGACCAAGTGTGCTAGAATCTTAATTTGTTTGTGTGAGTTAATTTGTTTACATAGGTGTTGTTTTACTAAAATTGGAGAGTACAAAATCCGATGCAGTTGTGCATGGTTGCCAATCAGCTTCTAACTTCAGCTTGTTCAATTCAGATTTGACAAAAAAAATCTGGAAGCTGATTGGTTTCAATGCAGAGCTGCACCAGACTTGCACTCTCCAGTTTTAGTAAATCAACCTCAAAGTGTTGTCAAATGACAATAGGTAAAAGCAGTGCTGGTGAGACAAACTTCAGCCCCTTTGGGCAGTGGGGAGCTAAAGGGCCTAACTTCACCCTCTTATACCCATCAACAGCAGTCCCAGCATGCAGTCATGCTATGCACCCTTCATGTGCCCTTCGCTGCCCCTGCATCTGCACAGCAGTGGCAACAGCTCATGTCCACCCCAAACAGTGGCCATATTGTGCAGCATTTCCATAATGACCTGCAGCATTGCAGGACTTATAGGGAGAGAAGTCTCATGCTGTGCATGGTGCCTCTATAATTGAGACACCACCATTTTAGAGGAGTCTGAAGTGAGTGTGTTTTTATACATCATTTAGTTATATGAATTAAATTCAGTTGACTTGTCATTTCTGTGCCATTAAACTTCCAGCCACTATGGAATGGTTCTTTATACAGACTGCCACTGCCTATAGGGAGGCTAACATTGGGTTAGTATTGCTACCAATAACATCAATGCTGGTTATTAGTTACTGGTTATTAGTTACTAGTACTGCCAATGACCCCAATGCTGACTCTTATTATATCTTCCTTATTTAATGCTGCTGCTGTTTTGTGAACACTTTAGAAATATAATATGGCATGCAGGTACCGCCGCACACTGTGCTGAGCTCCAATGTAAGGTAAATGAAAGACAGGCTTCAGCTCAGATCCCAGCCCATTGGACACACCCCTCTGACATATTTCACTCACGTAGAGCACCTTTATGATTACAGTGGAGCTCCACCCAAAAGGGAAAGTTCAGCTTTAAGGCCTCTTCCCCCCCCGCTACCCGTCAAGGATTTGGGGAGTGGGGTGAGTAGGTACCCGATTTTGACAGGTACCTGCTTCCACTTCTGCTGCGATTGCCTAGGTGATCGGAAGCAAAAGTTGTCCTCCCTCCCTCCCTGTAGGCTTCTGGGATACATGACAGGTCCCAGAAGACTATGGGACCATTCACAAGGCGCAGAGCTAATCGTGCACATGTGCAGTGGGCACCCGGATGTGAAGCTGCAAGCTGCCAGGAGAGAGGACAAGCGGTGAAATCGGCTGTGGTGAGGACACCATTGTATCGAGGGACAGGTGAGTGCCTGTTTCTTAAAAATCAGCAGCTACAGTTTTTGTAGCTGCTGACTTTCATTTTTTTTACACTTTGACTGGAGCTACGCTTTAAATCCTATGTGAGTGAAACATATCAGAGTGTGACCGATGGCTGAGATGTGAGCTGAAGCTTGTCTTTCATTCACCTTAAAGTGGAGCAGGGGCGGACTGACCATTCGGAAACTCGGGCACTGCCCGAGGGCCCGGGGTCAGTAGGGGGCCCCATGAGATGCCCCTGGTACCTTTTTCATAGGCTTTTTTTTGAGTTTGGGCAAGGACACAGGGGCCCCATGATCCCCTATTGCTTGGGGGCCCCATGAGCTGTCAGTCCGCCCCTGCAGTGGAGTTGAATATAGTGTGCAGTGGTACCTGCATGTCATATTATATTTTGGAGCTTTTGGAGAGATGTGCTCTATCTCAACCAGCACAAGAATACAGAGTGTAAACCTGGGAAACTGATACTGCAAGCTTGAAGTGGCACCAATATATTACGTTTTAGAAATATAGATTTGCATCTTGTTCTGGTAAGTCATACTAGATATTTTCATTTACCAATTAGTAATGAAGAGTTTCTAATTAAATAAATGAAGATACGAAAGCATAAAACTGGCCAGCAGCAGAATACTTTTAGTAAGGGATAATAAGCCTAACTGGTGTATGCCTAAGTTTTACTTTATCTATGGGAATGGAGTGTGTGGCAAAAATAAGTCATATCATGTGATGTGTTTGGGTGCAAAATGTTCTTGCACTTGATTTTTTTTTTTTCTTTCAAACAATGTAAAAAAAAAAAAAAGATCTTGGAGGGACTGTCAGCAATAACTGCCTGATGAAAAATACCCAAATGATAGAAATAAAAGTAGCCCAGGTGTTGACAATTTAACAGCTAGCTATTAATCAGTTGCTGCAGACAGAAAAATAAGGATTTCTGTGTGTACATACTGTATTTGTGCACATAAGCAGGGCATACACCTTCAAAGAAGTTCAGTTGTTGAACCCGGACCCCATTGAAATCAATGAAACACAAATCTGTCATATCAAAAATGCCAAATTTGTAGGCAAAAGGTAGTAAAAGAAATAACAAGGATGGGCACTGCCATGGGAAATATGTACCCAGTTCAATTTGGCCAGAATTTTTTCCATTTGGCCGGGAGCAGTGATTTTTTTTAAAGCAGTGAAATTTAAAAAAAAACAATGGTTTTGAAGTACAGGTAAATTACATTTCCCTTCTGGCTTTCATCTAAAAAAACAGCACAGACCCCCCTTTTTTTTTAACCACTTCCCACCCGGCAACTGCACATAAACAACTGGGTGAGAGCTTTCCCATTTTGAGAGCACATTCCGGAACATCCTCTAAGAACATGTGCCCTGTTTGGCCTCAGGACACAGCACATCACAGATTGGGACATGGTCGCTGTGATTGACTCTCCCAATCATATGATGGCTGTGTCCGATCACAGCCATCATTCAGTGTAAACAGAGATACATGTCAGCTTTACCAGCCGAGCTCAAGGAGAGGGGGGGGGGATGCTGCAAGTCTGTGACAGCTCTCTGCATAGCAGATAAAGAACACACAGATTGATGCCAACCCCACACAGTACATGAAGCATCATCTGTCCCTGTCCAAGTGTTACATCAACATCTGTACAAATGTCACATCAACATCTGTACCAATGTCACATCAACATCTGTACCAGTGTACCAGTGCATGAAACATCTGTCACAGTGTACTAGTGTCACATCAAAATATGTCACTGTGTACCAGTGCACAAAACATCTGCAATAGTGTTCCACTGCAACATCAACATCTGTCGGTGTCCGCCAGTTGACGATCAACATCTGTTACAGTGTACAAGTGCACAAAAACATCTTTCAGTGTACCAATAAATAAATAAACGCACGTGATGGTCCTGTACGCATATGTAAACGGCAAATGCACCAAACTTGTGAGGTATTGATGCGAACATCAGAGCGAGAGCAATAATTTTAGCACCAGACCTCCTCTGTAACTATAAACTGGTAACCTGTAAAGGCTTATAAAAAGTTTTCTATGTAGATTTTCCATTAATGAAGTTTGGCGCAATTTCACATGCATGCGCAATTTTAAACAGTTACATGTTTGGTATGTATTTACTAACAACATATTTTATATTTTACACAAAAGTGGGTATTATATTAACCATTTGCCCTCCAGAGGATTTACCCCCCTTCCTGACCAGGCCATTTTTTTTCTGTTCTGCACTGAGCTATTTCAGTTGGTAATTGCACGGTCATGCAATGCTGTACCCAAATTAAATTTATTCACACAAATAGAGCTTTCTTTTGGTCATATTTGATCACCTCTGCGGTTTTTATTTTTTGCATAATAAACAAAAATAGCAAAAAATTTTGAAGAAAAAACCCAATATTTTTCACTTTTGGTTATAAATAATATCCAATAAACTCAAAGTTAGTCATAAATTTAGGCTAAAATGTATTCTGCTACATGTCTTTGGTAAAAAAAAATCTCAATTCATGTATATTAATTGGTTTGTGTGAAAGTTATAGGGTCTATAAACTCTGGTATATATAATGGAATGTACATAGCTTTTACTTTCTGACTGTCACATTTCTTGAGGTGCTAAAATGCCAGGGCAGTACAACCCCCCCCCCCCCCAAAATGACCCCTTTTTGGAAAGTCGACACCCCAAGGATTTTGCAAAGAGGCATGTTGAGTCCATGGAACATGTTATTTTTTGCCACACATTTTTTGAATATGACATTTTTTTTTCATAGTTGTCATTTTAATGATAAATTGCTCATGCATGCCATGGGTATATGTGGAATAACACCCCAAAACACATTATCCTACTTCGTTCGAGTATGGTGATACCACGTGAGAGACTTTTTGGCAGCCTAGCTACATACAAGCCCCCAAAATCTAATCACCACCTTCAGGCTTTCAAAGGTCATATTTCCTCATATCACTTCTCTACTCCCTATCACAGTTTCAGAGGCTCTAGAATGCCAGGATAGTACAAAAACACCCCCCCCCCATCCCAAATGAACCCTTTTTGGAAAGTAGACAC